AAATCGGAAAGTTCCGTCAGTTTAGCGACAAGTAGCTATAGCTAAAACTGTCGTTAACCTCTAATGTCTAAACGAAGCTTAATAGTTTATTTTGACATCTGTCAATAACATTCAGTACATAAAAGTATACGTTTGCATCAATAACATTGTTCTTCACTGCATCGAAAATGTCGAAATTTGAGCCAAATAAGCGTCATTTGCGCGAAGTGTTAATCTTTTGCTTCAATTGTAAGTAAACTGCAGCTGCTTGTAGAAGTTTATGATGATAATGCTCCTTCCGATAAAACATGCAGAGAATGGTTTCGACGCTTTAAAATTGGTGATTTTGATGTAGAAGACAAAGAGCGTTCTGGACGGCCAAGAGTATTCGAAGACGAAGAATTGCAAGCATTGGTGGACGAAGACTCATGTCAAACGCAAAAGCAACTTGCAGAAGCATTAAATTGTGCTCAATCTGTCATTTCCGATCGTTTGAAAACCTTAGGAAAGGTTTACAAGGAAGGGAAATGGGTCCCATATGAACTGAAGCCAAGAGACATTGAAAGGCGAAAAACCATCTGCGAAATTCTGCTTGCTAGGCAACAAGGAAAGGGGTTTTTACATCGTATCATCACTGGGGATGAAAAATAGATTTATTTTGACAACTCCAAACGTCGAAAAACTATTTGCGATTCCGGCCAAGCCTCAACATCGACGCCAAAGAGGAATATCCACGGCAAGAAGGCAATGCTCTGTATTTGGTGGGATGGTGGGAAAGGTGTGCTGTACCATGAGCTGTTGAAAAGTGGTCAAACAGTCACAGGGGATCTCTACAGAGAACAAATAGTCCGTTTGAGCCAAGCATTGCACGAAAAACGAGTAGAATATGAAACGAGACAGCATAAAGTGATTTTGCTTAATGACAACACTCCGCCTCACGTCACAAAATCTGTCAAGGAAACGTTAGAAGCACTTCGCTGGGAAGTGTTACCCCATGCGGCTTATTCACCAGACTGTACCCCTCCCGACTACCACTTGTTTCGGTCGATAGCACACACACTTGCTGACGAATGCTTCAATTCTTATGAAAATGTCGAAAAATGGCTGGCTCTCTGACTGGATAGCCTCCAAAGATGAAGTCATTCTTTCGCCGCGGAATTCGCTTGCTGACCGAAAGATGGGAAAAATCATCGCTAACGATGGACAATACTTTGATTGATGTACTTTTTCATTTTGTTTCTTAAATAAAACCATACGTTTTACAAAAGAACGGACGGAACTTTCCTAATATACACATATATATTAAATATATATTAAACGAATCTCATATATATATATATATTAAATCTTACTATAAAAGTCTTTCCGTGCACGTGACTTGCGAATATAAAATTAACATATATATTTTAAAAGCCAAGTGCGCCGTTGGCTTTAGCAGAAAAGAGAGGAAATGTACGTTTGAGAAATCTCTTCGCGCGCGCGTGAGTGTGTGTGTGTGTGTGTGTGTGTGCGCGTATCAGGTTTTTATATGTAAGCTATCGTGTTCCCACCTATTCGTCTCTGCTTGCTTTTTCAAATATATCTTCAAGTATCGCATGAGTATTCTACACTGACGTGCCACAATATAGCGACATGCTTCTTTCAATTGATGTGCCGATGGTCCACTGCACGTAAAAGGGTTGGGAAACGCTGACCTACATACATCATACAGACCGCTGCACTCTACACGGCAATAGAACCGACCGCGCCGGTTGTTTCGTCGAAATTTCAACGGCGTAAACTTTACTTCGGGGTATGCCTTTCGAAACTCCCGTCGTGTCTCCGAGAGTCGTCGGGAACAAGCTCCTTCCCCGAATCGGTATCGATTGAAACCACTGCCATTCTCAACTTTGCCGGAAAAAAAAAAAGCAAAATTCGGAGGAAAGGAAAAACGAAGACAAAGGTCGCTTCCGACGACCAGTTCCGAGCTTAATTTTGTTAACGTGAAAACTGGATGAGAAACAAAAGAAAGTAAGCATCTCTCGGCTGTAAGTTCTCTCTCTCTCTCTCTCTCTCTCTCTCTCTCTCTCTCTCTCTTTCTCTCTCTTTCTTGGAAATATCAAAAATGTCCATCATGATGATGCGGAAGTGGACGCTTTTCACTTAAGAATTCGAATTTTAGGCAGTCAACTTGCGGCTTCCGTATGACTGAAGTAGAAATCACGATCATTCGAATCTATCCGAAAGAAGAAGAGGGAAAAAAGAAGGAGGAAGAGGAATCGCGCGCACCTATTCACGCGTGATAGATTTAGGACCGCGCTGCGTCGCGTCGCGTCGCGAATTCGATTCTTCCATGCTTTCGACGGCGATCTTGCGAAAGCGCGCGGCGCTAAATTTAGGTTCAGACGGACCTCTCGGACGAAAGGGCGGGAGAAAAGGCAAATCCAAAATAATCAGTCTAGCGGGAAATTTCGCATCAATCTAAAGTTTGAAGCCGATCGGAGTGCTTCGAGTGCTTTAATGCTTTCGGACGGGAGTCGATCTCTTCTGAATGCCTGGAAACATTGGAACGCCCGATTGTAGCCGAGAAGCGTGGTCGCGCCGCGCGGCGAAGTTTCGCTACTTGAAATTTCCGAGAGCGCGCCCGTCGTCCTGGCTCTCCCAACGTCCGCAAACAGTCTAAATTAATACGTTACAATTATGTAAACACTAATAATTATGTAAACTGCTAATTAGCATGTTTATGCCGACGTTACTCGTGTAAAGTGCAGTTTCGCGAATGCCCATCGCTCATACGCTTATACGCGTAAAATGAGAAAAGTGCGTATCATAGTAAAGTTAACAACAATTGGGTCAACCGCATTCTGTTCTCGTTTTTGTACGTCTTCTTTTTTCACTGCCTTTACTGCCAGTTACACATGTGCAACTGTAGGGCAACAATAGCGAAAAAAGTAATATTACTGCCTCCAACATCTCATTTCTTCCGTGTGTTTGCGAGAAACATTTCGAGCCCGACTTGATGGGCTCCAAATGTCGAAATATTTTTTACCCGTTATATATCCGCAGGCAATCTCCAAATAATTCTGTCGTCCGGTCGACAAACGATTTCAAAGTCACTCGTTTGCACTCCGATGGAAACTCAGAAACATGAAGTCCAGGAAAATGCTATTCTAACACGGGTTAATCAAACAATGAAGAGCCGAAGAGATGAGGACGTGCGGGGCGACGTCGAGTGGGTCGAAAAATGATCGTATATTTACTCATCCACGGTATAGCGCGATAGGGAACGTATGCAGGAGAGTTGATCTTATCGCACGTAATCCAACGTTATGTTGGATTACCATTTATATGATCCATACGCGTCGATACAATCCAGACACCGTGATTAGCTATTTCGCCGGATGAATATCTTATGTTTTATGCATTCTCTTTCTCCGATGAACTCAAAGCATCGTGAAGGAGGTGGGAAGCAAGAAGCCCATCTAAGGAACAGAGGCAGGTCTGCCGCATTCCCCCAGAGAGATCGGGATCGTATTTCCGTGGCTCTCACAATTTTACTATTTATGTAATATCGTACTCACACACAGTCCCTCAGGGGACTCTCAAACCTCTAGAGGTTCGCAAGATAGGTCGTAGCGTTTGAGCAAGGACGAAGTTGCTAAGCACCGCTAAAACCATTTCTGTACAGGAGGACTTCGCTCCGTAAGCTCTTCGCACCCCTCCCTCTTTCTCTCTCTCTCTCTCTCTCTCTCTCTCTCTCTCTCTCTCTCTCTCTCTCTCTCTCTCTCTCTCTCTCTCTCTCTCTCTCTCTCTCTCTTTATCTCGTTTGGCAAATAATAATAATTGTAGTGACAAGCGGTACGGAAGTACAAATGACTTTTGTTGCATCAGAGAAGTTATTCCCTATAGAATAAATTAAACGAATGAAGAGTAATGATTCATTCCAGCGTCTCGAGAGTATTTGGACATATTCTGACATATTTAGTAAAATATATTTTCTTATAAAAAAGATATATATATATATATATATTTATACTTTTTTGTATAAAAATATGTATATGTATAAAAATATATGAATTCTATTCAGATCTGTGCATCTCACTTCCATCAATAAAATGTTCTGATATTCTTGCGCAAGTGACACTGTACATAATTACGTACGAAATTCTTCACGTACTTAATCCGTCTATATCAAAATGTATGGGCGCATAGCAAGCACAGAATAGTTAACGAACTTTGCTCTTTAGCTAAAAGCGATCAATTTTTACCTTCGTTAGACGTCACGCTAAGAATAATATACTTCAGCAAAGCCATTCGAGCTGCAATTAAACTTAATTATATGCTTACGTGACGTAATTGCAAATCTTCGTAACAAGCTCAATTCAAATTTAGAAGGTTCAAGAAACTAAAAGAAAAAAAAAAAAAGAGTCGCTGTATGCCTGTATACAAACTCCGTTGTACAAATAGCGTTGTATATATTTTCGATATGTTTCGAGCGATAAATAGGTCACTGTCATTTACTCGCCAGCGATGTTTCATGCCGCTCCCATTTTATCATGACTTATTTATTCGCGGAAATAATTATTTCCTATCGAGAGCCATTAAAAACGTTCGACGCGTTATTTTCCAATTAAATCCAATCGGTTATGTTAATCCAATTTATATAAAAGCAAATACACGCTCGTGTACCGGCGGTCTTGTATGACCTTAATATTTGTTTCAATTAAATTTGATCGCGCGTGTTTGTCAAATTAAACAAATTATTCATGTGACATTTTAATTTTCCACAAGAGACTATTCTTTATACAACCTCGACGCAAAGTTATTATAATTCGCGTCCGCGGAGAAGAATGCCAAAATACCTCGTGTTTTTCATCGTGCTATTAGATGTAAATTTAACCAACAAGCATCAACTCGAGAGAGAAGAAGAGAGAGAGAGAGAGAGAGAGAGAGAGAGAGAGAGAGAGAGAGAGAATTAACTCGAGCTTTTATATTTATTAACGTTGTATGACGTCGACCGCTAATCAATCATCGTGTTTCAGATATCGTGGATCCGGCGACGTGATTTCCACGTCCTAACAAGCTCTATGTTCACGTATACGAACGACGAGCGATTTCAAGTCCTGCATCCCGAGGGCTCGGACGATTGGACCCTTCAAATAAAATACGTCCAAGAGAGAGACAACGGGACGTACGAGTGTCAGGTAACGTGATTCATCTTGAACAGTCTTGTTACTGTTGGTTAATTAATTCGATCCACTCTAACGAGCATTTTCCCGCACTCACTGCGCGCGTACATTGTTTTTTCATCGCTTGCTTAGTCGCCTGATCTAGTAACCGCCCTTTTCATATTTCTCATTTTTATCTCTCGTATTTTTCTCTCTTTCTCTCTCTCTCTCTCTCTCTCTCTCTCTCTCTCTCTCGCACGTTTCACAAAATGACGTTGACAAAATTCCGTCAAACAAGTCGCGTTCGCGCCGGTTCACGGTTTATCGTCGCGAACAATGTTCGTAGCGCGAAAATCATGACGCAAGAGAGAGACACGCCTTTTCATCGTAACGTAATTGATATCTTCAAATTGGCTATATATATTCCAATAATGCGCTTTATGACGATACGAGGGCAAATGATCGGTGATTTATGCCAAAGGTATACAGCGGGAGCAATAAATCCTCCTATTAATAATTCCCGACATCGCTGATCGCGCATACCACAACGCGTCCGATATTAATTCGGCAGTAACTTTGATGCATACGCCAAGTCTACTCAGGCGATACATATGACATCATTTCGCTCGCCGTAATCGAAATTCTTCACTGCGATAAACCATTGTAGAAGGTAAAAATGAAGACGACAATCTTACGCATTGATTGACGGGACTCCTCGCCGAACATTCCACAACTCAATACATTCGCCATCGCGTATCACACGCGTACACAACGATTTTCACGAGAAACCAAGCGTAACATAAGGCGAATATCCCAGTTAGTTTCAATTAGCGATTAAGTAGCCTCATCGCGAAAATAAATTAATAAATTAACATCTACGTGTTAAGCTGAATATATAAAGTTCATTTTTTTTTCTAGGGAAATTCAAACATGGACTTTTAATTGTGTTATACACTTCTTCTAATTTGTCGAAAGATTTAAACTTACATATAATACTTTCCCAGAAAGGACTGCGTATCATTTGGTAACATGACAGTTTGGTTTTATTTCAAATTTGTTATAACAACCGATAATATATACAATTGACTCAGAACATATGTTTTAAAATAAATAAGGACTCGTCTTAGTTGATTTATTAAGCGTAATGGATGCAATTTTGTCACAAATTGGGCCACTGTCACTAATTGAGACATTTACCTTACGTGTGACAGTTTATTCCATTTCCACACAAATAAATTAATCTATTGCTCTGTTGGGTCAAATCAAGTCTCCCCTTGCCTCCCTATTGCTCTATTATTGTCCGTTATGTAAAATGAAAAAAAAACGAGGAAAGTTTATTCGTGGCGATTTCTCAGATGAACGTTGATAATGAACGTGTTAAGTAGAAAACGTTGCGACGAAGGTAAAACAGACGCTGGAGGAGCGCCATCGCCGCGAAGTGACGCGGTGAAACTTTGATACTTGATTAATAAAAAAATGTGATACCCGTCGCCATTACTGCGAAAGGTATAATTAAACCTAACTGCTCGAGCGTGCTAATACGTAAATCTGTGTGACGTGTGAACAGCGGACGGAAGGCTCTCCTCTTGCTGCATATTCATGCATTTTTCCCCTCTAATGGAACGGCAAACACGAGTCCGCGACTACGAGCGCGTGTGCGAAAGAAATCGGACGGCGTGAGTAACGAGACACGAGAGACGCGCGTTCTCGCCGGCATCGAATAAACTCCAGCCGAGGCTGGAAACCGACGGTAGTCTTTGACCTTTCGGCGGAAGTTTCGCCAAGCCACGGATCAAGTTCGGTAGCAAAGGTGACCTCTTATGTTAATTTCGTGTGCGAATACACAGCATCGCGCCGCGTCCAACTTTTTCCGCTGAACTTGGGAAAACTTCCGTTTCCGTCTCGCCTCGCTTTCTCAATCCGCTTAGAGGGAAAGTATTTCTTCGGCTCATTGTCGTAGCCAAATGAGTTTCGAGGTAAGCTTTAGCCATGACCAAATGGAATGACCGTAAGCGCGAAAACGGTACTTTTTGGATATTTTGTACTCAGACTGGCTCTTATGACTGTCGCGCGCGATCGATGAGGTGATCGATGATGGAGAATTTGATGATTTTTAAGCTTCCTAGGCTCGCGTAATTTCCTAATACGTTCAAGACTCATCTCGAACTTGTGCAACTGAGTTTTCAATAACGGAAATGATATACGTATGTTACTTGTTCTTGACAGGAATGTTGGTTTTCGACAGAGTCAGAGTGCTCGCCTGCATGATAATATTTGTGGTCTCGGATAAGCGTCGATTTTGCATTGGTTTTAGAGCGCAATACACGAATCAAGGAAGATTTAACGGAAGAATAGATGAAGGGCCTATGTTAATAAGAGTCACGTTAATTTTCGATCGAACTTTTGTCTACCTGTAAATATATAATATCATTTTACGAGGGAAATTAATTATATTTATAAAGCAACTACATTGTATTGAGTTAAACACTGAATTTATCTCATACAACGATTTCGTCATGTCGATATGTAGTAATAAACTTGCTAAAACTTGCTAACAAAGTTACTGAAATTCACTAAAAGTTACTCTCAGAGATCTCAAACAGATTTTCTCGTGCACACTTACATTTTACATAACTTTTTCTTCTAAACGGATCCATCGCATTTTCATTTTATACGAATCGTCATTCTATACGAAAAATAAGTTTAAATGCCGTATAAAACACTTACGAGCGATACAGGCTTCGTATATCGGCGAGCACGATCGCTGCCAAATTTATGTACAACTGTCTGTCTGGACACGTTCCACGGAGATGAATGGCGTTCGATATAACAAGCAACGGTGAAAAATTGTAGAACAGATTTAGCCGGACCTCGCGGAACCTGTGCGCACGCACGTACAAAGGAAATAATCCAAGGCGAAAATCGCCCGTTACGAAGTAACAAATATATTACAATTAAACGAAGCACGAGAGAGGAAATTAACGAGTGTGTTCAATGCGCAACGGAATATTAAAAGCCGATTATGGCTTCAGACCGTGGTTGAAATTCAGACCGTAGTTTCGTAATTCAACAGCTACGCGGAAGCGGATGCGAGCGGGAGAGCGAAACCACGCCGGTCGTACTTACGACAATTTGTTAATGTTAAACTGATTACGACGCGCAAGATAATCTCGGTATAAGCAGCCGAGCGTGGCGTAGCGCTCACCGTATTCTCGCTCGTGCCGAAACGTGCACGTTGTATTTTCCATATGCCTCGTCGCTGCACGATCGCGCGCGCGCGCGTGCTCCGCCCGACGATAATAATCAATATTTCCCACTAAACTCGACATTTTACGCCGTGTGATGTGTTACTTCGAACGGAACGGTAATATGGCGCGGATGGCTGGGCCGGAACATGAGGCCAATGTGCGAGGGACCGATACGAAAAAGGACGATCAATGACGCGTTCGTCGGCTGTTGCCGAATGCGACGGTGCGTAGCGCGGCTGTCTCGTCTATTTAGTCACGTAGATGAATATAGGGGAAGGGGAGGAGCCGCGGGGGCCGCGGTTGTATGAGCGCAATGCAACTCTCGACACCTCATTATGTAGCAGGGGGTTGCCGGGCGTGAAGATTACCTTGTCACAAGGTCGATAGCATATGGGATATCTTTCCGACACCGGCTATGTATATTATAACGCGCGAAATGAGTGCCGACCGTGCGATTCACAGCTGGTGGTTCATCACTGTAGTAACTAATTAGAAGTCATCGGGACTATGATTAAATGTCTGAAACGATCGCTTGTCGCTGTGATGACGAATCACGTCACCGGATAATGGATCGCCCGTTAACCCTAGCACGAATCGTTCCGAGTGTATGTGTGTGTGTGTGTGTGTGTGTGTGTGTGTGTGTGTGTGTGTGTGTATGTGTATGTGTGAGTAGCGTGTACCGAAAGTTTGGTACAATTATTTAAATTGCGGCAAAAAAGGGTAATCACGGTCAAATCGTCCGACCTCGTGGTTGAAATTATAACAGAGGGAAAAGTCTATCGATTTAACACTCGCGAAGCAAAGGTATTGAAATACAAATGATTCAAGATGTTTTCAGGCTATTATTGTACATCGGGATTGTAACATGGAACAATAAACAAAATCCAAGATGGAAATACAAGACGGTATTATCTAGAAATGCAGAAAAATATAATACACAGAAAAATAAATTGGATCTTCTTCTTAACCCGATCTTCGATATTCTACGCGGAGTACTATATGAAGAGAAATATTTGTTTGAACGAACCAATGTTCTGTGAAATATGAGCGATTCAGAAAAACTCCGATTGAAAATATCGGAATATCCCGTTTAAGTTAACCAGAAATATGGATAATTTAGACTTAGTATTTTCTGATAACTTCAATCGAAATTTTGTGTATCATTTATATTTCACCAGAAAATTATTTCATTCAGCCAAACATTTTTCTTCCCATATAATGGTCAAGAGACGAAAGGAGAGAAAGAAAGAACGACCGATAAAAAGCCTAATCACAGTTACTAATGAGCAATTTCCGTCTTATCACGTCATCCACGGTGCCAAATGCTTCGATCATTACGACCCTCTTCGGCAGTCTAGCGTAATTGTCCGTCAAAGACGAATTGTGTCAAGAGATAAAAATATAAGCGGATTTATAAATCATGCTCGCCTGTACATAAAAGCTTCAATTTAAACCCGCAATTAAAGTGACGTTGTGCGCGCGCTGCCTCGCGAATTAACAGGCAAACAGCATTAAATGAATAGCAAGCATTCTCGAAATCTGTCTCTCGGCAATTCGATAGATCGATCGTCGGCAAACGTCGCTGTTCATCGACAGAGTGTATCTCTCTTCATTCATTCGCCAATTCATTTTCCTATTCATTCTCATTTGGCTGTGACTTATATTTCTCCTACACAAACGAGAGCTCTGCGGCGCAATCCTTCCCGAATAATTTACTCGGAATCGGATAAATCGGGATGAGAAAGAAAGAGAGAAAGAGAGAGAGAGGGAGAGAGAGAGAGAGAGAAA